GACTTCGGCAAGTGCACCGGTCGTAAAAGTAATAAAGTGTACGAAGTACGAGATCGTTCCCACGAGGATCGGAATTTCAAGCACTAGTTTCGCTAATCACGTCTTAGTTGGACAATCAAGAATTGAGATGAAGAGAATGGTGTTTCCGAAGAGTAATTAAAATTAAAGACAAGTAATAATCATGCAAGAAAATTCAGATTTAAAAGAAAGAGTAAACACCCTTTTTAGTCTCTGTCAATATCTACGAAGTCCTTTTTAGTCCCTGACAATAAAAAAGGACCAAATTGGTCCCTGAAATTACAAAAAAAGGGGGCCATGTTAGTCCTTATGTCAACTCCCAAATATGCAGAGTGGCCCTTTTCTTGTACTTTCAGGGACCAATTTGATCCTTTTTTATTGCCAGGGACTGAAAAGGACTTCGTAGATATTGCCAGGGACTAAAAAGGGTGTTTACTCTAAAAGAAATCAAGAAGATGATGATGTTTTAAAGATTTTAAAGAAAAGCGTAGTTAAGGTTTCGATTTCCCCCAATATCCTCGTTATGTTATGAATTAAAGAATCAAGAACCTTTTCTTAATATATTGCCAATCAATCCTATCTAAGTTAATTAGGGCTCAATTCCTTGTTACCCTAAATCTATGTGATCTTGGAAGAACTCTAGTTCCCCGATTATTCCCCAAGAAAACATGCATGAAGATCAAGAATTATAAAGATTGCATAATTACCCTATGTCTATCCCTAGACCACAAGGATTATGATAAATTTATCAAGTAAGGGTTTATGCAACAACATCCCTATTGTCATACAATTCCCCAAAATCATTCTATAAGGAGCAAACTCATAGAAAGCATTAAAAATAGATAAATTTATTCAATTATAAAAAGAAAGAATACGGAGACAATTTAATCCATAAACATAACGATTCAATTGGGTTCCATCTACCTTTAACTACATAAAAGACTACTCACACATACTGAATTGAAAAATAAAGAAAAGAGAACCCCAAGCCTCCATTGGTGTGATGTTGACTTGGTTACTCAGTGTTCTAGCGCTTCGCAACAGGATTCCTCCTTCAAGCTTGGTCTATGAATTGGTCTCTGTGAATTGGTTTTTGGTCTGACCCTCAGCTCTTTATTTATAACTGTTGGAATGTCCAATCTTCCTTGAATCTCCCAATAATCTGTATCAGATTTGTAATTGATATCATCTTTGTTTCCTTTTGCGTTTATGATCTTGTAGATTGGTGAGAGATTTAAGATATTGAATCTTATTGCAATTTATCTTCAATCTTCCATGAATCCGCTTTGATATGTTTCCGCTTTAGTTCCGATATCATTATCTGACAAATCTTCATTAAATCTCAACGAATCTTGCTAATCTTTGCTGTCAGGATTGTGGTTGGGCGCTTAAGCATGCTGTTGGGCGCTTGAGCGTGCCAAATTGCTTGAAATTGATGTTGCTGCCTGCCAGAGCGCGCTCGAGCGTGCTTGTTGCATAAGATCGACAAGTGCACCGATCGTACCAAGTAATAAAAAGTGAGTAAGAATATCGTCCCACAAGGATTGAGGCACCAAATTTAATTTAACTATTCCTTTCTTATTGGATTAAGAAAAGAGGTTTTTGAGAGTAATTGTGTTGTGACAATTGTGAACTATTCAATATTTCGTGAACAATTCTAAAAGAAGTTTGAAAACTTAAAGTAAAAGGTTGAGATTGAGAAAAATATATAAAAAGATATTGCAGTAAAGGACTCCAACACCTTTCTGATCCCCACCTTGTAATATTGATTAATGTTTATATTTAATTACCCAATTGATCAAACAATTCACCATCTATTAATTAATTAGTTAAGCCCTAATCCCTTAGTGATCTTAACTTTATTAACCCTATTAGAATCCTAATCCCTTAGAAATCCTTTTTCAAGTTAATCCTTTAACCCAGTGAATTTTCAACGTTTGCAGTTCATGTAGCCTATCCCTAGTGCATACATGAACTGTTATTTTACCCTTGTCAGGAACTACAATCCCAATATTTCTATTGAAAACCCTAACCCTCGCAATCCTAATAGAGTGATCAATTCTAAAAGAATTAAAAGATGAAGAACAGGATAAAATAAATGTAATTTAAAATAATTAAATATAAATTTAACCAAACTACAAGAGGTTCACATCAAGGGTTGTGACCCTTACCACAATAATAAAAGACTAGCCAGACATATTCATGTCTGACAATTTAAATAATGAGAAAGAGTTCATGAAAATGTAAAACCGGAAGAAGAAGAAGTCTTGAATCTTCAGTCACCGAGAGCTTTCTCTCCAATTTCTCCTTGCTAAAAGATGATTTTCTTTTAGAGTTTCTGCTTCCTTTATATAGCCAGCTACTCAATCAGGTCATAATACTCTCATTAATTTGATTAAATTTCCATTTTCATCAAACTCCACAAATCAAGGAATGCATTCATGACGCCTGCGCGATCTGCGCCAAATCCGCGCGGATCACGCAGACAAACAGAAAGTAATTTGCCAAAATCACGCGGATCGTGCCATTTTCGCGCGTTTTGCGCGATACTATGCAATTTCAACTTCTCTCTTTCACTTCTTTTTGGTGTTTCCTGCTATCAAAATGCATAAATTGAGTGAGAGAATGATTGAGAAGGAATAAGCAATATTTCTTGCATTTATGAGCTTATTTTCACACATTTATGATTAATTCCTTGCTTCTTTTACTTAGAAATCACCATATGTTAGACACATATCAATGCTCCTTGGCGCTCGAGTGTGCTCCTCGAGTCTGAATTTGAGTCTTCTGGAGCGCTTGAGCGTGCATCTGCGCGCTTGAGCGTCCTATCTAGCCCAGTTTGGCTGTTTTCCTTGCTTGCACGCGCTTGAGCGCCCTCTTGTGCGCTTGAGCGTGCGTTTCTGGACCTTGAATTGTAATATTTTGGCTTCCTTTGGTCCATATTGAGCTTTCCCTTCTTCGTCATGATTTCTTTAGCACTTATTAGCACCATTCTTCGTGGTTTTACCTTCAAAATGCAAATATCATCAAAACGTCAGCTCAATTTCCTATTTCATGAGTTATATGCTATAAAACCTTGAATTCCATGCATTCTACTACATATTTCTCATATAATTTACCCTTGAAACATGGTAAACCAAAGGTTTATCAAACATTCCCAGATTTGAATATTGTTGTCCTCAACAATCAGTCAGAATAAAACTAAGGGGAAAATGGAGCAAGAATCCTCAATAGCATGGAATTTAACAGGAAAGACTTAATTAGAGACATGATTATAGAGCATTCAGATTCTAAAAAGTGATACATCAATCAACAACATTCATAATTCATCAGTTAAAAGATGCATCAAAATTTCTTAAGATCAAGAATAAGGAAAATTTTCTGAAACACTCCCTCACTAAGCATGTAATTCACTCACACTCAACTGTTTAGAGGGTTAGTGTTTTACTCTTATCCTACTGAATCAATACTACCATAGGCTTGCTTATATTCTTGCTCTCCACAGTTATCGTGACATATCTCACAAATCAAGAGGTCTTGCTTAGGGTTATAACTTGGCCTGGTTGAAGGAAGGAAAATTTAGAGAAAGAGTTCCAAGATTAAAATCCAGATTCAAAGAGGAATAAATATAATCGTTACAATTTGTAAACAACTTTCTTTCTTCTTTTGCAGTCCATTCTTCTTTTTCTTTTGAACTTTTCTCTTGTTCGTTGTTCTCTTTTCTCAGAACAATTTATTTTTTTCTTTTCACTTCTTTTCTTTTTCCTCTTTCTGAGTAATTTTCCTTTTCTTTGTTTCTTTTCATTCCAACCAACCTTATTTTCCTTGGCTTTTGCCCTTTTTCCCTGCACTTCCATACATCACAATTTATATAATCAACAATTAACATCTGCTCCTCAATTCAAATCTAAAATTTAATCTCAAATAAGGTGAGGATTTATATGAAAAGTGGCTTATTCATCTTCATAGGTTTTCAAAGAATTAACAGGCCTAGGCTCAAAGGGGTTCACTAAGGAATGTCAGCAAGGGTTGGCTATTTGGCCATCTAGTTCAAGAAAAAACATGCCTCAATCATATCCATAGAATATATCATATACCAATTCAAGCAAGAAACAAAGTAAGTTCTAGAGTATTTCATACAGTGGAATGCACTCTCAATAAAAATTTTCTGTCTAGGCTCAGAACCTCACGGCTATGAATGCACAGTTATTTTTCTATTCTTCATCTCAAAAAAAAATTCATCACTTAAAATGAATCACGAAAATCATTACATTGATGCTCGTTATGAAAAAATTTAAATAAGTGCATCATCATGCTCTGAATCAAATACTTATTAACATTTCCCACCTATCTTTCATTTATTTGCACTGAGAAAAGTTTAAAATTTTCACAAAAACAGTGGCTTGGGGTTTTTCAAAACAAACTAAATATTAAAAAAAATCAATAAAGCAAAGAAGAAAGGTTTTGAGATAGTTCCCTGTTTTAGCTGGATGTTCTGTGTGTGCTCATGAAGTTCCTCTGGCTTACTCAATTGTGCTCAGATGAACCGCGCAAAACAAACTAAAAATTAAAAATTCAATAAAGCAAAGAAGAAAGGTATTGAGATAGTTCCCCGTTTTAGCTGGATGTTCTGTGTGTGCTCATGAAGTTCCTCCGGCTTACTCAATTATGCTTAGATGAACTGCGCGTTCCCCATTCCCAGATTTAAATGTTGCTGTCCTCAGCAACAGATTTAAATCTAAAAAGAAATCGCGTCGAGAAATAAAAACAACTAATTGCTCTCTTGTTGTTTGTTCCCTTTTCTTCACCTGTAAAAATTCACTCAATGATAGCCATTAGTCTCAAAACATTCTCCTATCTTTTTGTATTTTTCTTAATTTAATAAAAAAAGAAAAAAAATCAAGGCTAAAAATAGTAAAATGGTGGGTTGCCTCCCCCTAACGCTTGTTTTACGTCACGAGCCTGACGTACCTGACTTATGATCATGGTGGTTCAAAGTATGAGCTTGGTGATGACCAAGGTCCATCATTCGTAAATTGTGTCCTTCCATAGTGCTCTTCTGCATATGGATGAGGTAAAGTAGTTTCAGGAACTTTGAACTTGACTTTTACATGCTTTCCTTTGCTATCAGGTTTCTCCATCTTAACTTTTGGCTTACTTTCTTGAGAAGACTCCTCATCGTGTTCATCTTCACCTTTCTTTTCACCAATATAGTAGACTTGATCTTTCGGTTGAGCTACAAATGAGGGGACTTCTTTGTCAAAGAACTTGAAAGTTGCTTGCTCTCCGTCTACCCGTAAGATCAGCTCACCTTTAAGTACATCAATTAGTGCACCTGAAGTTGCCAAGAAGGGTCTTCCAAAAATCATAGGAATAATGGCATCTTCTTCAATGTCAAGGATGACAAAATCAACAGGAATGATGAACTTGACTACCTTTACTAGTATATCCTCAATGATGCCATAAGCTTGCTTTGAAGAGCGGTCAGCCATTTGCACTGTCGTCGTTGTCGGCTTCACTTCAGTAATCCCCAGCTTCTTCATCATGGAAAGTGGCATGACATTGATGCTAGCTCCAAGATCACATAAGACGTTATCCACTTCCACTTTTCCTATAGTGCACGGAATGCTGAAGCTCCCTGGATCCTTGACTTTGGTAGGTAACTTCTTTTCGCTGATAGCATTACATTCCTCCGTCAGATTTATTGTCTCACATTCCCGCAACTTACGTTTCCTTGATAATAGATCTTTCATGAACCTTGCATAGTTGGGCATGTTCTCTAAAGCTTCGGCAAAAGGAATGTTGATCTGCAATCTCCTGAATATGTCTAAAAACTTTGAACATTGTTGCTTCTGAATCTCTTTCTTTAATCTCTGAGGATAAAGGATTCGAGCATATGGGGAAAGATCGAAAGGCTTGTCTTGTCTTTCTAGAGCTTTCTTCTTCTCCCACTTGAATAGTTTCTTTTCGGGTTTTTCAGGATTGCTTTTGTCAACTTCAATAGTATCCTTTGCCTTTTCTTCTTTCTCTTCTTCTACTGATGCTTCTCCATCCTTCTTTTTTTCTTCGGGCTGCTCCTCTATGGGCTGAATCACTGTCCCACTCCTAGTGGTGATAGCATTGCAATGCTCCCTTGGATTGACAACTGTGTTGCTTGAAAAAGTACCATGAGCTCTTTCAGTGAACTGCCTTGATAACTGGCCAATTTGAGTTTCCAGGTTCCGAATAGAAGCTTATTGATTCCAGAACGAAGCTCTTGTTTCTTCTCTGAAGGCATTTGAATTCTGTATATAATCTGAGGTTGTCTTGGACAGCTATGCAAATGCTTTCTCCCACTCTGATTGTGGAGGTTGTTGTTGCACTGGTGGGGAAGGGTTCAGCTGATGATTTGATTTGTAACTAAACCCTGGGTGTTGGTTAGGATTTATCCACCCTGGATTGTAGTTATTTCCATTTTGGTTCCTCCCCTGATTGTTCTGGTTCTTTTGATCGTACCAGACTCCGTTAACATCCTTAGTTTCGGGTGCATTGCAGTCTTCAGTAGCATGAGCACCTGCACAAATACCACACGTTATTTGAGCACTATTAGTAGAAGAAACTTGAGAATTAGCAAACTGCTTGGTGAGAGCATCAAGTTGTTCTTGTTGTTTCTTATGGAATTGCAGCATTTGTTCATTCTGGACTAAGATTGCATCATAGCCTTCAAGCTTCATGATTCCTGCTCTCCTTTGAGGTGCTGGAGCATTATCGAACTCCTGAGATGCTAAAGACTCTAACAATTCCAGTGCTTCCTCTGGAGTTTTTGTTTTCAATGATCCTTGATGTGCCTCTGGAAAGTGTGATTTTCTGTGTTAAAATTGATAAGAATTGAGTCATACTAGAGCAATTTAAGTATATATTTGCTAATGATATTGATTCTTTCTAATCCAATAATATTTCTCACCTATTAGTTGTGTTTATACAGGAAAAAAGAGTGAAAATTACAAACTATAAAAAGCCTGTAAACGCGACTCCACACAGATGTATCACAGTACAATGGACAGCAGCATGGCGCCAACCGGCGCCGGATTCTGGAAAAACTAAAAAAACATGTCAATAGCATGGCGCCACTTGGCGCCCAAAATGAAACAAGCATGGCGCCAAGTGGCGCCCAAAGTCAAAGCAAATGGCGCCAAAGGGCGCCCAAGAAAAGGAAAGTGGCGCCACCTTACGAGGAAGTTGTACCGGTGTTTGCAATTTGGACAGGGACGCGGCGCAAAGTGGCGCCACACCGGCGCCAACTGGCGCCAGTTTGCGGGAAATTATATCGTGCTGCACGAAGGGTATTTTTGGAAGAAAGAAAAAAGGCATATAAATAGAATCCTCATGACAGAATTAGGTATTCAGACCTATTCTTCTGAAGAGAGACGACGACAGAGCTTCGAGAGGATTCCTGAGATCAAGTTCTTCTTCTCTTTTCTCTTTAATTTTATGCTTTTAAATATTGGAATTTTAGCCATGATTATGTTTGGCTAGTATTCTTTTTATTGTAGTTAGGGTCACAAACCCTATGTGAACCCTTGTTACGACGGATTGGTTTACTTTTACTCGTTTATATAAATTGTCTTTATCTCTATCCTGCGCGTATTTTATATTTTCTTTATTAGAATTGATCATTCTAATAGTTGATAATAGTCTGAGGGTTAGAACCCTAGATAGGGATATTAGGGTTTTCATCTTGAAAGGGGGTAGGATAACGGTTCGTATGCATGCTAGGAATAGATGTGTATTGAATTGCGGATGCCTAAATTAAAGAGTTCATCGCTTAATTTTCATGAGGGGTTACTAAGAGACTAGGATTCCAATTGAAATTAAAGGGTTAAATTGCCAAGGGATTAGGATTTAACTAATTGTTTTAGATAATAATTTATCCGAGTAGTTTTATAAATGAATATTGTAAATCAATCCAAAGTAAGAAGTGGGGATCATAAGGTGAGTGCGCTCTAGCTACAATGTTTTTCTCATATTTTCAAAACATCAATTCTTATTTTATTGTTCTTTTTCTCAATATAAAAATACAAAAACAAGTCATTATTTTTAGTTCTCGATTTCACACAAATTGACAATATTTGTCAAAACTCTTTGAACTCATCCATTCTTGAAAGGACTATTAATTGATATACGATCACAATCCCTGTGGAGACGAATATTATTTACCACTTTATTACTTGTGCGATCGGTATACTTGCCGGGAAGCATCAATCCTCCTGCTGCAGCATTCACCAGTGTTCTTGTACTTGGCGTCATTCCTTGGAAGAAGATTCGTGCTTTCTCCCAAGCTTTAATGCCATGATGGGGACACTTTCGGAGTAGTCCCTTAAATCTTTCCCATGCCTCATATAAAGATTCGCTTTCTTTTTGTTCGAAAGCACTGATATCTGCTTTGAGCCTTGCCATCTTTGAGGCTGAAAAGAATCTGGCTAAGAACTTAGTTGCGAAGTCATCCCAGTTGGTGATGCTTCCTTCAGGCAGTGACCGCAACCATCCTCTTGCTTCTTCCTTCAGTGAGCATGGAAAGAGTCTAAGAAAGATGGCGTCACGTGAGACCCCGTTCATCTTTAAAGTGTCACAGTATAGTAAATTTTTTTCTAGATGAGTATACGGGTCTTTGGTGCTTCCTCCAGCGAACTGATCTTTTTGAATTACGTTGTTAGCATCCATGGCTAGTCTAACGATGCTTGCCGTCTGCGGTACTCGGGTTGGAGTCATGTAATCTCCCAACGTCCTTCGAGGATTCTGAAGTACGTTGTTGTCGGCCATTGTTTCTTCCTTCGGTTCCGTCAAGCTTGATGTTTCTTTCGCTTTCCTTTCTTTTGCACTTTTTCTGAGTTTCTTTTCTGTCTTTTCTGTCTTAGGATCAAACTGCAAGATTCGTGGATTAACCGTACCTCGCATAAACCAAGATTTAAAAGATGTGCAAAAAACAGAAAATACAAAAACAGAAAATAAAAACAGAAAAAGAATGCAGAATATGAATAATTATGTAGAAAAAAAATGCACAAACAGAAAATAGAAAATAAAAACAGAAAAAGAATGCAGAAAATTTAAATATGCAGAAGATTTAAATATGCAGAAAATTGATGCAGAATTTTTAATGTAGAAAATATATTTGAAGAATGTTTAAAGTGCAGAAAATTAAAACGTCCAATCTAAAAGGTAATTAGTTACTTCTAATGTTGAAGAATTCGATCCCCGACAACGGTGCCAAAAACTTGTTGCGACTTCGGCAAGTGCACCGGTCGTAAAAGTAATAAAGTGTACGAAGTACGAGATCGTTCCCACGAGGATCAGAATTTCAAGCACTAGTTTCGCTAATCGCATCTTAGCTGGACAATCAAGAATTGAGATGAAGAGAATGGTGTTTCCGAAGAGCAATTAAAATTAAAGACAAGTAATAATCATGCAAGAAAATTCAGATTTAAAAGAAATCAAGAATATGATGATGTTTTAAAGATTTTAAAGAAAAGCGTAGTTAATGTTTCGATTTCTCCCAATATCCTCGTTATGTTATGAATTAAAGAATCAAGAACCTTTTCTTAATATATTGTATATCAATCTTATCTAAGTTAATTAGGGAACAATTCTTTGTTACCCTAAATCTATGTGATCTTGAAAGAACTCTAGTTCTCCGATTATTTCCCAAGAAACCATGCATGAAGATCAAGAATTATAAAGATTGCATAATTACCCTATGTCTATCCCTAGATCACAAGGATTATGGTAAATTTATCAAGTAAGGGTTCATGCACCAACATCCCTATTGTCATACAATTCCCCAAAATCATTCTATAAGGAGCAAACTCATAGAAAGCATTAAAAACAGATAAATTTATTCAATTATAAAAAGAAAGGATTCAGAGACAATTTAATCCATAAACATAATGATTCAATTGGGTTCTGTCTACCCTTAACTACATAAAAGGCTACTCACACATACTGAATTGAAAAATAAAGAAAAGAGAACCCCAAGCCTCCATTGGTGTGATGTTGACTTGGTTCCTCAGTGTTCCAGCACTCCGCAACAGGATTCCTCCTTCAAGCTTGGTCTATGAATTGGTCTCTATGAATTGGTTTTTGGTCTGACCCTAAGCTCTTTATTTATAACTGTTGGAATGTCCAATCTTCCTTGAATTTCCCAATAATCCGTATCAGATTTGTAATTGATATCATCTTTGTTTCCTTTTGCGTTTATGATCTTGTAGATTGGTGAGAGATTTAAGATATTGAATCTTGTTGCAATTTATCTTCAATCTTCCATGAATCCGCTGTGATATGTTTCCGCTTTAGTTCCGATATCATTATCTGACAAATCTTCATTAAATCTCAGCGAATCTTGCTAATCTTTGCTGTCAGGATCGTGGTTGGGCGCTCAAGCATGCTGTTTGGGCGCTTGAGCGTGCCAAATTGCTTGAAATTGCTGTTGCTGCCTGCCTGAGCGCGCTCGAGCGTGCTCCTCGAGTCTGAATTTGAGTCTTCTAGGGCGCTTGAGCGTGCATCTGCGCGCTTGAACATCCTGTCTTGCCCAGTTTGGCTGTTTTCCCTGCTTGCACGCGCTTGAGCGCCCTCTTGTGCGCTTGAGCGTGCGTTTCTGGACCTTGAAGTGTAATATTTTGGCTTCCTTTGGTCCATATTGAGCCTTCCCTTCTTCGTCATGATTTCTTTAGCACTTCTTAGCACCATTCTTCGTGGGATTTGATGAGGGTGCTGATTTGACTTAGTCTTAAGTTAATGAGACGCAACATATATATGTATATGTATATATATATATATATATATGTATATGTATATATATATATATGTATATATATGTATAGCCCCTCTTGTTCCTTAGTTTCGTAAATATTTTTCTCTAATTTACTCCACTGAAACCCTAGCCAACATATATTATTTTTTCAGTAGGTTTATAATTTTTTTTTAGTACATTGTTTAAATTCTTTTTAATGTAAATTATAAATTTACATATAATTTTTTGGAAAAAAATATTTCTGCAGTTAATGCAGATAAGTTATCTGCATTTATTCCCAAAACGACGTCGTTTTGGTATTGAAATCTCAAAAAATCATAAATATAAAGACTATTATAACCCTGAAATAAATTAAAATAACAAAAAAAACCATGATTTCTATCCTAAAATGACGTCATATTTGCTTACTGCAGATAATTTATCTGCAGTAACTGTAGAAAAAATGAACCCTAATTTTTTTTAGTAACATTGATATTTTTTGTTAGAGTTAAGGATACAAAGGTTGTTTTACTCAAATTTAAACCCGACGTGCACACACACTGAGAAACCAGTGAACCGATCATCTGACCGTTATCACATTGGATCGGCCAAGTACCAAACCCGGTGCGACCCAGTTCAACCCGGCCGATTTTGGTGAAAATCGATGACCCTGTCAGTTAACCATTGACCCGACCCGGTTCATGTAAAAAAAATTTCAAAAAAAAAAATTCTAATTTTTTTTATAATTGGCATATTTGAGTGATTTGTTGCTTATTGACTTACATAAGTTATGTACCTACAATATTAATATTATCTTAGTTATGCACTATGTAAGGAATTTTGATTTGATTTATAGTTAGAAATATCATTTACTTGACCTGAAACACCAGTATCACAATCATTATATGTTTGTTTGATCATACTTTATTGGACAATAATGTATAAATTTTTATTTTTATATTAAAATATTTAAAATTTATATTATTTTTTCAGCTATTTGAATATGTTTATAATTTTTTTAGTACATTGTTTAAAAAAAAATTAAAGTAAGGAGAGTGTATTGGATTGGGATTTCAAAGGATTTTAATATATTGTTTTTGGACAAAAAAATCAATTAGTATTCAATTAGAATTTTAAAGGATTGAAAAAAAGTCATGTGGTATTCGATTAGGATTTTAAAAGATTATTTTAGAGTCTGCCCAAATCTGTTAGTATTCAATCAGGATTTTAAACAAAGAAAAAATAATCTTGTGGTATTCAAAAACCTGACTATTTTAATAGATTTTTTATTGGTTTAAAATCTATTATAATCCATCTCAAAAACAGACGATTTTTTAGAACTTTTGGAAGTTTAACAAATCATTTTTCAAGCTATGGATCACAATTTTTCTTAGCACAAAAATGCGTGAATTTTGTATTAAAAATAACATAAAACAATGGGAAAACAATAGGGGAACTAAAACCCTCAAAACAATTTTTATTTTACATCAATGAAACAATATCAATTTAAAGAAAAATTGAAACTTTCATAATATGAACCCTATATTTCGTAACAATACATTCATGAATGAAATTCCTTCGCTATAGAAAATGATTTCAATTTTTTTGTGTAAATAGTTGATAACTAAAGACTTGTTTTTCAAAAGCCCCAAAGCAATTTAAGTTTTCAATGTATCGATTGAAAATAATTTGAGAAATTTTCTAAACTTTCATGTAATAAAACCCTGAAATTCAAATTCGAAATTTTCTTAGAATACTTAACGAAAACATGCATATGATATATGGTTAGAAAACTCTCGTCACGTAGAACAAAAACTCCAAAGTTTCCAACGTATATTCTTTTCCAGCTATGCAGACCAGAGATAAGACAAAGCAGAGAACTGAGAATGACAATCGCTGCCTTCACCGCCAACGAAGTCGCCGCCTACGCCGCCGGCAATGTTGTCATCTTCTTTAACATTGTTCTTATTCTTCTATTTTCTAACAATCCAGGAGCAAGATGGCGGAGTACGTGGCAAAGATGATCGGTGATGTCGTTTTGTTAGTTGTATTTATCAATTCTGAAGTTGGGAAGGAATTCCATGAACAGTATCCGTTTCTCGTAGGCATTTTGTTCGCAGCCGTTTACTTAAAATATGTGATCTTGATTCTGGCGGTGTACGAGGGAAACGAGGAGAAGATTTTTTCATTTTTGATTTTAATATTTGGAATTACAATCACCCTTGTTCTTTACCGATTGATATCCCCAGCTACTACTGTCATAATACCCGCTGAGTGGATATTAGTGATAGTGGTGAAGAATTATAGCAAGCAAATCCAGAGGCTCGTATCACTCAATGGATTGGGCGATGGGTGCCGATTTTCCGTTCCACTACTACTGAGCCGCTGCTGCCTTATTAAATTTACACGCTCATCTTTAATTGGATATTATGATTCTGTAATAGAATTGGACTATATATTTGTGGCTGAAAATTTGAAGAAGGCTTTAAGCTTTTTCCATTATTCCATTCAATTCAATTTCATCACCACTGTATAAAAACAATACGCATCTTAGTTTTCATTTCGTAGATTCAGCTACTTATTATTATTATTATTATTAATTATTATACCTTTGGTTTCATCATTCGCTATTGCAAAGATCTTTCACCAACCGCGAGATTTTGATCTGATCAATCTATCAATCACGCAATGGTATTCATTTCTCGTTCTTTCTTTTTTTTTTTTTCTTTTTTTTTGTTGAAATTTGGTCATGATTGAGTCAATTCGAAGTCTTGTGTTGTGTTTGTGTTCTTTTGTGGTGCGAGATGAAATTAGACTTTGTTTGAAATTTTACTTTTTTAGATATGTTTTTTTTTTCTGTGTTGGGAGCTGATCTATATTGCATAGAAGCAGGATTTGGATCTTTGTTATTACCGAACGACATTGTAGGAATCTGATTATAGTGGATAGTGTTTTACCTTGTTGACTAAGCTGTTTGGACAAACAGCAAGTTCAAATTTTCAGCCACAAATTTACACTCAATAAATTTGTGGCTCCT